TATAGGAAGCCAAATAAATAAATAAAACTCACTGCCATCGAGTTTGTTCCGACTCATAGCAACCCCTCCTTGGGTTTCGTAGGTGGTGTCTCTACAGAAATAGATTGCCTTATCTTCCTTCCAAGATATATAAGAATAACTTATATAATTAGAAAGTTTATAAAGTGCTAAAATATTTACCTTTGTCATAATATTTACCTTAATGGGACCAAGATAGGAAGATCCTTTAAGTATTCCAAGTGTGACTTGAGACTCTTCTAACTGAGCTAATATGTCATCTATGGAAGAAATTATTAGGATAGGGCAAGTCTCCGTGTGATGAAGAACCAAATGTAAAGGAGTAGCATTCCAAAGATCAATAATCTTAAATAACATTTTTTCAAGAGCAGCTTCATTAGTTGCTGCAGTTGATATTTCATTTATTTCATCTTCATACTGAAACATCTAAAATAAACAAATTATTCTTTAACATTCAGTAATGTAAATAGTTCTTGATTTATTTTACATGAAAGATTTAAATGCATGCTCTGAAGGTCCATCAAAAACCATAAAAACCAAAGTTACTGCCATGAAATCAATTCCAACTTATAGCAACCCCACTGGATTTCCAAGGCTATATAAATCTTTATGGAAGCATACTGCTTCATCTTTCTTTCACAGAGGTCCTGGTGGGTTCAAACCACAAACCTTTTGGCTGGAAGCCAAATGCCTTTAACCACTACACCACTGGAGCTCCTTTGAAGGTCCATCAAAAGTATTGAAAATCTGATTTCATTTGGGTTTATATCCTAACCAAAGATTTTATGACTTATCCTTCATGACCTACCCTTTGCGATTTTTAATCATATTATTTCACATCCTTCAGTGACAATTTCAAACCAAATTTATTTAATCTGAATCGAGTCAATGTAGAGAATAGTTAATAGTACCTCCCATATATGTACAGATGACATTAAGTATTTCCAACAATTGTCTTTTCTTTGTACTAATGTGGACAACTTACTTTGTGACATGCTTTTACTCTCTATAATACTTGGAATATAATCATCAAAGAGAATTATATTCTATGGACCCAGGTTTCCATAGCTTCCCTTTATTTGCTACATCCCTATGAGAATTAGTATTACTGAAAATACATTAATGGATCATTGACTACCAATTCTCACAGGACAGAACCTTGGTATAAGATTATTTTGGTTACCTAGTGCCGCTCTGACAAGAATATACCACAAATGGGATGCTTGAACAAACAGGAGTTTATTCTCATACAGGTTGGAGGCTTTAAGTCTGAGTTCAAAGTGCCAGGCTCTAGGGTGTGGATGAAAGCCCCTCAGCCTTGGGTTTCAGCTCTGCCTCTTGCTCCCAGCCCACTGAAGCTAGAAGCATCCTCTCACTCAGGCAGCTACTGGCTGCTGAGGCTAACAAGCCCAAGATCGACAAATAAAATGACACAGTCCTGATGTTACCAAACCACATGGCAGGCCATTGATTCAAGTCCATTGAAAGTCCCAGGATTGGCAGAGCATGACAGGCTGATGAACAATGACTCGGCTACAGTTCAATCGTGGCTTAAGCTAGAGACCATTCCCAAAGCTATTTCTTATATACAGGAAGCAGACCACATACCCAAAGCAGCTACTCAGCTGCTCCAGTAGATTCCACCATGGAGTTAATTACCATTCTCACCATAGGGAATAACTACATCTAGCTGCCCAGCCACTCAACCAGGCCCAGCCAAGTTGACACACAAATTTGCTGCAGCCACTGTGTCAATCCATCTCCTCATTGAGGGTCTGCCACTTTTTTGTTGACCCTCTACGAAGCATGATATATTTCTCCAGTAATTGTTCCCTCCTGATGAAATTTTCAATGTCAGTAAGATGAGTCTCAGCATTCATCCTTGCTTTTCTGAAAAGCATTATGGCTGTACTACCTCCAAGACAGAATTATTTGTTCTTCTGGCTTTGCAAGGTATATTTAATATTCTTCAACAGGACTACAATTGAAATACTTTAATTCTTCTTGTTTTCATTTTCATTGTCCGTCTTTTGCGTACATAGGAGGTGACTGAAAATACTGTGGCTTGGATCAGGCTAACCTTATGTTATCAAATTAACATCTTTGTTTTTTAAGATACTAGAGAGG